TTCATTTTACTTGAATTATATCCTTATTTTTTGAAAACTTTTTATTTAGATTCTAAATATGTTCTCTACATTTAAAATGGTCCTTGAAAATTTATACTATAAAAACAAAATTTTTAACAAATAAAAATTAAAGTACCATATTAAATGCTTCTCAAGAGCTTAGGGGGCAGCTGCCCCATTATCCTTCATTGGCTCTGTCATTGGTAAGACATTTAATCACAACTATTAAATATATAAAATATAGTGTAAATTCTTTATTTATCAAATTCATGAAGTGACTATTATTGAATATCATGATATTTTTAATATCAGAATGTCTTAATTTTTTTTCCTTTTTTATTTTATTTTATTTTATTTTGGGACTATATATACTGATGTTGTACAATAAATTGGTTAGGAGGTTTCAACGAACTGGTTTTGACACTCATGTTAAGGAATTTTTTTTTTAAAGATAATTAATGTAATGGTTGAGGCACCCTTGTACCTCTCAAATAAATCGCAATTTTTACTGATAAAAATAAAACAAATATTTAGCTGGATGGATGAGCATTAATGAAGGAAAATTAAAGGGAATTTTTTTTTTTTTTTTTTTGGGGGTAACAAGAACATTGATGAAGAACATGAGTATTGAAAGAACATTAAATATGAGTATGGTATTCATAGACTTAATCGAATAATTAAGGACATGATAGTAGCATTTTACAACCGAACGGCTTCTTCCGGTAACCAAGGTAGCAAGAAGCCGATAGATTGTTCTTGATGTTAAAAGCATAATCGAAATAAAAGTACCAGGCCATAATTACAATGAAATTTTGGAAGATGAGTATAGAGAAGGAGTAATGATAAAAGAGATGAATTATATGAGATGAAAATTTAGAACGAATAGCATTATATAAGTTACTTTTTTTTATTAGCATGACATAAGTTATTTTATTTAAAATATTAAAAAATAAACTCCATATTATTTAATTAATTAGATATTTTTATTTTGTTAATTAAGACTCATATCTATGAGAAAAGTGCATATCAATTCTAACTTGTATAAAAAAAAATAAGAGTCTCAACCTTAAATGGTGTTATTTCTTTTAATTAAAATCTAATTTAAAAGTCAAAATTCAACTATATATAATGCTGATAACTATATTTAGAAACAGATTATATTAGAATATATAATCTATTTCTAAGTCCATGTATTAAAATTTAATAAGGTGAATTTTTTAATTTTGAATTAAATTTTAATTAAATAAAACGACATCATTTAAGATTAGAATTTTAATTTTTCACCAATAACCTATTGGTCTGAGTGGAATGAGCTCGGTTCCTTTTAAACAAGATCTTGAGTTCAAATCTTATGAATGGAAAAACAGGTGTTGAAAGAGCTTCCCTCTATATGGAGTCCGACTTGACTCAATTCCAAATTAGTTAAGATCCAATGTTATTTCTAAATACTGAAAGGTTAGTAC